ACGTTTATTTCATTTATTTATATGCAATGCTGAGAATTGAACCCAGTGCCTCACACATGCCAGGCAAGTGCACTACTGCTGAACCACAGTCACAGCTCCTGTACACCTTCTCTTGAGCTAACATTTCATAGCACTCTGTATGTGTCAGGTACTGTGTAGAATGCCTTCCAGACCAGATTAATTTTTTTTCCTAGCCACCTCCCTTTTATAGATGAGGGAGAAAATTAACTCAGAGAGATTAAAGCACTTGTATAAAGCCACACAACAAGTGACAGAACTAGGATTTGGATTCCAGTTCATCTGCTTCAAAAGCTGAAGCTATTTTTGTGTGGGGGGTGAGGAAACCTGGGGTTTGAATCTGGGAGTGCTCTACTACTGAGCCACATCCCCAGTCCTTTTTTATTTTGAGACAGGGTCTCACTAAGTTGGTTAGGGCCTTGATAAATTACTGAGACTGGCTTTGAATTTACGATCTTCTTTCCTTAGCCTCCTGAGCCTCTGGGATTACAAGTATGCACCGGGCCTGGGTTCCCAGCTCTATATTTTCTTTTGAGACAGGGTCTTGCTAAGTGCCAAGACTGACCTTGAACTTGTAATTCTCCAGCACGTGCTACTGTGCCCAGCCAAAAATTAGATCTTAATCATTATGATGCCTCACTTTGGGGTAGTATTTCCTCTTAGTTCTTAGTAGATTAGGTACTAGGACTTTTTTTTTTTTTTTTTTTTTTTTTTTTTTTTTTTTGGTAGTGCTGGGGAATAAACCCAGGGCTCAAACATTCTAGGCAAGTGCTTTACCACTGAGCTGCATCCCTAGCCCAGGATTTGGTTTTTCCAAATCTAATTAGAGATGTTTGGACTGTCTTTTGTGAAGCTCCTTCTAGCTCACCTAACATAACATAAGGAAACTATGGTGTGTTTAGGCTGATTAGCTCAGAGACTAAACTCAAGTGTTAGTTATTTTCCATGTCAAAAGATGGAGAGGTTCCTGGCTGCACAAGAGGCTAAGGCAGGGGGATTTCAAATGTGAGGCCAGTCTCAGCAATTTAGCAAGGCCTAAAGCAACTTAGCAAGATCCTGTCTCAAAATAAAAAATAATAAAAAGGGCTGGGAATGTAGCTCAGTGGTTAAGCAGTCCGGGGCTCAATACCTGGTACCAAAAAATAAAAAGGACTGGAGATGTATCCTAGTGGTAGAGCACTTGCCTAGCATATAAAGCCCTGGGTCTCATCCCCAGTGTTTTCCTCCCAAAAAGGGCAAAAGGCTGTCTCAGGACAGAAGTGGCATTCATTAGTTCAACAATTTTTTTATTGAGATACCTACTAAGTGCCAGGCATTATTTTGGGAGCTGAGGATACAGCCAGGGGTGTATTATGAATTATGGTCGCTAAAATTTTGCCTTCTTAGTCCCCTTCCTTCACTAAAAAAAAAATAATAATAAAATAAAAAATAGCATTGATATAAAGATAAATACCATTCAGATTTGGTTGTATTTATTTTTTCTTCTACTTTAAAAGAAATGAAAACATTTTATGAGTCCTTAAAACTATCACAGGCCTTCAGCATTGTGCTTGTTGCAACTAAAGGATAAGTTTGCCTGGTGGATAACAGTAAATAAACACAAAAATCCCTGCCTTCTTGGAGTTTATATTTATAATGGCTAAATAATTTTAAAAGTAATATATCAGATGGTGATAAATGACAAAGGAATTTTATTTGGGTTGGATGGTCACAAAAGGCCTCTCTGAGGAGGTTACATTTAAAATGTTTTTTTTTTTTTTTTTTTTAAGAGAGAGTGAGAGAGGAGAGAGAGAATTTTTAATATTTATTTTTTAGTTCTCGGCGGACACAACATCTTTGTTGGTATGTGGTGCTGAGGATCGAAGCCGGGCCGCATGCATGCCAGGCGAGCGCGCTACCGCTTGAGCCACATCCCCAGCCCCAAGGAGGTTACATTTAAACTAAATGCTTAAATGGTAAAGAAGAAACCCGCCATGCAAAAATGCAAGAGAATATTCCAGGCAAAAAGGATGATAAAGGCCCAAAGAGAAAATAGTGGCAGTTTAGAGAGACAGAATAAGGCCTTGCATGGCTAGAGCTTACCTGTTCCCTGTAGACCCAAAGGGCAGAACTATGGTTAGTGGGTGAAAATTACAGGGATTATGAGAAAAGAAATTGGCTAAAACCAGAAGCAGCCAGCAAAGAGAAAGGCAGCCTTGGGAGGAAGTACATGAGTCTCAGGGGCCCCTGAGAGCAGAGCCCAGGTTGAACCTACTCGGTACTTCTGCCCAGGGGATGCCTAGAGTTTGAGATTCCTAGTCACTCTTGCTTCCTCCTGGTTTTTTCTTCTAGAACTTTTGCATTTGCTCAGAATCTTCTCCCAGGTCTTTGCAAAATCCAGAATAAACCATCAGGAACTATGGTTAATTTGAAACCCTCTTAGATGTGAACAAGTAACACCTTAAACATAAGTAGACCTGGATGCTGTTTCTTCCTTGATGCCTGTATTGTTATTGTTGTTTCTCTCTGGACTTCCAGGAGTCCCTCTAGGACAGAAGAAAGGTAGTATGCAAAAAATAAGTACCAAGCCCAATTTCATTTTCTTTTCTTTTTTATATGTGTGTGTGTGTTCACACTGGTGGGGATTGAACCTAAGGCTTTGTGCGTGCTAGGCAAGCACGAGTAGAATGGAATCCTGGGCTGGGAAATGTAGCTCAATGATAGAGTGCTTGCCTAGCTTGTGCAGGGCTCCAGGTTCAATTCCTAGCTTCAAACACAAGAAAACAATCCCAAGAGGATAGGGTTTAGCTCAGTGATAGAGCATTTGCCAATCATGGGTGAGACCCTGGGTTCCATCCCCAACACTGCAAAAAAGAAAAAGAAATCCCTAGCACACTGGTAGTCCCAGCTACTAGGAAGCCTGAGGCAGGAGGATTGTAATTTCAAAGCTAGCCTCAGCAATTTATTGAGACCCTAAGCAATTTAGAGAGATTCTGTCTCAAAATAAAAGGAGCTAGAGATGTGACTCAGTGATTAAGTGCCCCTAATACCCACCCCCAAATTATATATATATATATGTATATGTATATATATATGTATGTATGTATATATATATATATATATATATATATATATATATAGGATATAATTTAAGAGACCAGTTGATTTTTTTTCATTTAGTTGACTAATCCATATGGCCTCTTGTGTTCACAAAGATTTTGAGGATATCAAAGGATGTCAAGCCCTTAAATGGCTTCTGATTGGTCTAAAGATAAAGGCGAACTCCTTTTCACTGTGAACGTACAGTTGAGTCTCTGCCTCATCCAGCCTTTACCTCCTTCTCTATCCTTGTTTCATCCCACAGTACTCCTTGCTTTCTGTGCTCCTGGCATGCCAGTTTTATTTCCTTTAAGTTTGCCAATGCTCTGTCCTGCCACAGGGCCTTTGTACGTGTTCCCTCTATTTGGAATGTTTTCTTTCCCTCTTCACCTGTATCTTTCCACTTGTCCTTTAGAACAGGTTCTGGTCAGGTTTATTTCTTCAGGAAAGACCTTGTTGATTAAGGCAAATCCTCCTGTTACAAGCCCTTCCTTTATTAGGTCAAAGCCCCCTATTGCAAACTTCTATATCACCAAACAACACCTCTCCTTTATTCTCATCAGGAGGCCAACTTCATGGACATGTCACCTAGGTAGTCGCTTAGCACCCTGCTTTTAGAAAGGCAGGATGATTGGTTAATTCTTTGCTTTCTACCATCATGAAATTCTTATTTTTTGGCACAAGACCCATTTTTCATTTGCAATGCTCCCCCTTGAAAATTATATAGCTTTGTCTGGTCCTTGTTGCAACTTTATGTTTGGTTTTGTAACAGTTGGTTGATTACTTTATCCCTGACTATACTGTGAGCTCAAGAAGAAGGGACTTTATGTATTTTTATAACAGTTCCTGACACAAAGTAGGTGCTCAGTAAGTAACTGCTGAATGAATGGATGAAAGAGAGATTCTTTCAGGAATTTGCTGTTTGGTTAGGAAGATGAGTGCCTCTCCCACATCATACACTGCTTCCTGAGTCATTACCCCCGTTGCCACGGTATCCTGCACAGGGCCTGGCCAACCGGAAGTATCAGTTTATATAGGTGCAAACTGGAGCTAACCCCATGAGTAATCAAGGGAGGTTTTTGTTTGATTGGTTGGTTGGTTGGTTGGTTTTTGTCTTGGCCATGCTGTAGGTGACACAAAGTGTTGTGGACATTTAGAGTAGAGGAGGAAAGCAAGGGAAGTAGCAACTAAAGTGAGCCCTGAAGGAAGGACAATGATTGGTGGCATTGAGGTGTTTGGGCAGCCCCAGAGGAGTTGCATGGGTAGTGGCAGTGGTGTAATTTGGGAGAGGGGCTCCAGCATCTCTGTATCTTCATGTGGTAGGAAAGAGGGGTGGAGGGTTGTGTTCATGGGTATATTGTAAATCATGAATTCAGGAATTAAGTTCTGTAGGTTCCCAGGAGGTAACTTATTTCATGCCATTATTTATTATTCATTTATCCAATATGCAGTGAATTCCCACAATATCCAGGCTCTGTCTAGTGTTCGGGATACGGTGGTGCTCCCCACAGCTGTAAGCCTTGTGCGGGGTTAGAGACAGGTGAGCACAGGGTCTGGGCAGCTTGGCAGCAGCATGTCACCCATCCTGTGGACCAGGATCGTTTCATGTGAGAGAGTCAAAGGAAGGATGAGACCAGAGTGGTCAGTGCGGCTGGGTGGAAAGAGTGTTATGAGCCATGTTAAGGGTTTCACCTTGATCCTTAACAACGGGATGACATTGAGGAGTTTGAAGCAGGAAAGCCCACCCTGCTCCTAGCGGAGAATAGGATGGAAGAGGCCAGATACAAGGCTGGGGAACACAGAAGGATATCAGGGTGGACTTGGGGATGGCTATGAAGATGGAGAGAAGGGGAGGGAGGGAGGGGAAGCATTTGGTGGCCAACTGGTCAAGGGGTTAAGGGAGAATGACAAGTGCAGACAATACCTGGAACTCTGTCTTGGGTGTCCCAGAGTCGGGGCAGGGGCAGCATTGGAAGGGGGAACATTTAAAACGGGAGGTTTGGGGGTCAGATTGCAAATTCAATTTTGGATGTCCTAACCAAATCCAGCTCTTGTCCCAAACCAGGAATCAGAAGAAAAACCACTCCAGCAAGCTGCAAGAGCTGGCATTGCTGCTACCTGTGGCCCCGAAGACTGGCACCAAGAAGCTCACCAAGGTGCGGGACTGGTGGAAAGGAGGCAGACTGGGGAGACAGGTCTTCAGATAGCAGTAAGCTGGGAAAACCTAGCAGACCCTTTCAGAGTCAGCCTTGGAATGGGTATGGTCCTTCTCTGAAGGAATTTCTAGGAGTCCTGATCCCATGACTAGAAGCCTGGCAGTCCTTTTATGCAAGAGACAGGGGAATTGGGAGGGAAGAACAGAATACGGAGTCTAACAGCCAGAGGTTTGAGACCCCCCACCCAGCTCACAGCTGCAGAACTCTGGTCAGTTTCCTGAGTTTCTTGGCTTAAAACAAGGAAATATAACTACCACTACCCAGAGATATCATGAGGCCAAAATGACATAATACTTGTGACAGGTTCTGCACGTTGCATACCCTGAATAAATATCAGTTCCCTCTTCAAGTCTCTTGTTTTGGGATCTGTGAGGTAGGACTGGGTGTGGTTTCCCAGGATGTCCCCATAGGCTCCTCAATAAATGTACATAGTGCCAAGCTAACACCTTGCTCCCAGGGGGAACAGCCTAATATGAGACTCAGAGATCTTGAAGGCTTGATATGACGTTTTCTTGCTTTAGTTCCTCTCATTCACTCATGTACTCATTCATTCGTCAGCCATTTTTTGAAATATTGCTGGGTGCCAGAAGCTGTTCTGGTTACAACAAGGGAGGCAAAGAAATTTGAGACCCAGTTCTTCTCTGGGAACTCAGAGTCTGTCAGGAAGATGAAGATTTGAACACAGGAATAACTGATCCTAACTGGAATGTGCGACTTGTCTTTGCAGAGGTTCAGAGGAGTGGGTGTCTTGGAGAGATTTGCCTGACCCCAAACCTGGGCTTTTCCCTGCCCACCACATGTCATCAACCACAGGTCATGTTGAATCTTCCTCTTAAATCTCTCTCAACAGTAGGTGCTTTTATGAGTTTCCTAGGGCTACCAAAAAATCACCCCAAAATTAGTGACTTAAGAGAGACAAACTTATTCTCTTATAGACTGGAGGTAGGATGTCCCAAATCAGAGGTACTGGTCTAGAGTCAAGGTGTCCGTGGGGTTGGTTCCTCTTGAGAGGCTCCAGGGGACTGTCCACTGCCTTTCCCTTTGCCAGCTTCTAGAGGTCACCTACGCTCCCTGGCTCATGAGGGCCCAGGCTAGCAAGCAGCTTCGCATCTTTAAAGTTCTTCCCTCTCTTACTACTTCTGTTGCTATATCGCCTTCTCTGCCTTTGTCCCCTGCCCCCACCCCCACTGTTTCCCTCTTATAAAGCCATTGTGATTCCATTGGGCACACCTGGATGCTCCAGAGTAATCTCCATCTTGAGATCTTTAACTCACATCTGCGGAGTCCCCTTTGCCATATCAGGCAGCACATAGCACATCCATAGGTGCTGGAGACTAGAACGTGGATATCTTTGGAATTCTTTTTTTTTTTTAATATTTATTTTTTAGTTTTCGGCGGACACAACATCTTTGTTTGTATGTGGTGCTGAGGATCGAACCCCGGGCCGCACGCATGCCAGACGAGCGCGCTACCCCTTGAGCTACATCCCCAGCCCTCTTTGGAATTCTTATGTGAACTATTTGAGGAATTGTTTCCTCTGTCAAGCATTTGCATATTTGATGTGCAGAGGTATGTTGAGGCTCTTAGGGAGCTAAAGACGATAAAGACACAGTCCACTTCCCTTGAGGAATGACAGACTAGTCAGGGGACAGGCAACATTTCGTAACTGACCAGATGACCACATCTCTTGGAATTCTTCCAAGGTTTCAGAATACTTTGTTCACCATTTATCCTCTGCTGTGTCAGGAATCTTTCTTCCCTGTCTTCACCCTCCTGAAGTTCAGCCCTGGTTCCCTTGCTCCTTGTATTACCTGCATCCCAGTGCAGACAATGCCTGGGACTCTGTCTTGGGTGTCCCAGAGTGGGGGCAGGGGTAGCATTGAAAGGGGGAACATTTGAGACAGGAGGTTTGGGGGTCAGATTGCAAATTCAATTCCCAGTCAGTGCCCAGCATCTCATGGTCAAACTTGTCTCTGTGTGAAGATACCATAGCCAGTCCCAGGGCTGTGTGACGGCTCATGAACTATTAGGTGTGGCTTCCCTGTGTTTGAGACAGGAGGTTTGTGGTGTCCTTCCACACCACTGTGGCTGATTAATTGCCCCCTATCCCATGTAGTCCTCAGCATAGTACCATGAGCATTTCCTTGTTTCTGACTCCTTTAGATGGAGAATTATGCCAGTGCATATCCCATAAGGGAAAAATCTCTACCCCCAGGGCCTCCAAGACCCCCAGGGCCCTGCCTAGAGCAAAGAGCAGGAGCAGCTGCTCCCAACTTACTGAGAGTTCCAGATGCCAGATCTTGACTGCTAAGCATCTTAGATTCGAATCCTCATTTAATCGTCCCACAAGGCTTGGGAGAGATGTATGGGTAGGCTCACTTTGGTTTAAGGAAACTGACGTGCAGAGGGGTCACACTGCCCAGAGGCACACAGCAGGGCAATGAGAGAAGTGTCATTCCAAAGCCCTGTGCTTCAACCCTGCTGTCACAAAGAGCTCAGTGGATGTCTATCGAATGGCTGAATCAATGCCATCTGTTGAGATAGTGATAAGGTCCCTGGGATTCAAACCTCAGGGGCAGCAGCCAAGGCCACCCTCCCTAGTTATCAAATACGAGCTTCTGCTGAATCCTGGGTGATTCTCAATTGCTTTCTGCATACAACCTTTAGACTAGTCATAACAAGTAATATTTATAAATTACTTGACAGTTAACAAAGACTTAATTTTGTGCCAATCCTGTTATTAGAAGGAATAAATTAAAAAAGACAGTATCAGCTCTTGAAAAAATCCACTGTCTAGCAATATATATATTTAAATCCCTAGGAAACCTGGTAAAGGTGATCTCATTCAGTCTTCAACTAAGCATTTATTAGGCAATCAATGTATCACACCCTGTGCTGGACAATTTTACATTCACTAATTGTTTACTTTTTTTTTGGTACTGGGGATTAAACCCAGAGTCACTTTACCTCTGAACTACATACCAAGCCCTTTTAGTTTTTTTTATTTTGAGGGAGGGTCTCATAAAGAGGCTGGCCTTGAACTTGTGATGCTCCTGCCTTAGCCTCCTGAGACACTGGGATTACAGGGAGGCACCACCACCCTGTTTTCTAATTATTTAGCCTAATGGCAGTCCTCAGAGCCCAGCTGAATATCCTCATTTCCATTGCATAGATGAGAAAATCAAAATATGTACTTGGTGAAGTACATAAAATGACCTGTTTTTAATGCACAACCAAGTGGTAGTTTGGATCCAGGTTTTAAAACCAATGTTCTCTTGGCTATGTCACACATATTTCTTAGATTATATAGTTCTGTTATAGCATCCTTCTTGGATACTACTAAATCATTTCACTGACTGTCTATATTGTATTTTATGGAATACTTTCATGTAAACCCCCTCATGAGACCCTGTTTCCTTATTTGAAGTTTGAGAGTTTATTTCTGATTTTTTATTATTCTGTGGATCCAGTTTGATTCAAAACTGGTGAACTTCCCTCACCTTGTCACCCAAATAACTCCTTCTACTCTTTTTTTTTTTTTTGTGTGTGTGTGTGTGTGGTGCTGGGGATTGAACCCAGGGCTCTGTGCATGCGAGGGAAGCACTCTACCACCAACTGAGCTATATCCCTAGCCCTCCCTCTACTCTTTAGGCCTGTTCAAATGCTACCTCCTCAAAGAAGCCTTTCCAGACACCCTAATTTTGGGATCCTTTGTTTGTGGTCTTTTATTCATAATGCTTATTATATAGTTGGTAATTTTGAATGATTTGTGAGTTGATTAGGGTCTGTTGCCCTCACTAGACTGTAAATTCCATGAAGGCAAACAAAACATGTCTAGCTTACCCTGACATACCTCTTCTAGCTCTGTAACCCATATCAACTCAGGAGGCAGTAGGTAACTGGATGGGCTATGCCTACCCACTGGGCAGGAGGCATCCTCTTGGCGGGAGGTTCCATTCCTCTGATAGTCCCTGGCTATATGCTTGGGATACAGAATTCAATTCGCCACAATTTCACCATCAAGTAGTTGAAGGTCAGTGGAAGTGAAGGACATGTCAACAGATAATTATAAAACAGCGTTGCAAGTACCCTGGTTGAAATTGGCCCAGGGTGTTACAAGAGTGCTGAGGAGGGCAGCTGAGCCAGCCTGGGTGAGGGGGGTCAGGAGGGCGGGCATGCTGCCGAGAACCAGAAGAGGAGATAGAGGTGAGGAGTTCATGGGGGAAAAGAGGAGGATTTGCAGACCGGAAATACAGCATGAGCAAAGAGCCAGGGGCCAGAAGCTGAGCTGTACGTGCTGAAAAACAGCCAGGAGGCAGGCAGACCTGAGTTCAGATTCTAGTTTTTCTACCTCGTTTCTCCAGATCCCTTTGGCATTCTAAGCCTGTTTCCTCAGGTGACACCCCACCCTACCCCCTGCCACCTCACTGAGCCTTGACGAGGTCTTAACAGTAGAGCAGGAACAGTTGGAGGACTGAGGCCTTGCTTGGGAGAGGTGGGAAGTAGGGGCCTGAGGCCTGCCTGTCTCTGGTTCCCAGCAGCCTCATGTTTTCCTGAGTCCTGGCTCTTGTGCTCAACCCTGTCTTTCTTTTGGGGGCAGAAGGAGATTCTGCTTCACGTCCTGCACTACATTCAGTACCTCCAAAGAAGCATCGATGTGGCCAAGGCCTTGCTCAAATTCCACACCAGCGATGGGGAAGGTGGACTTGGGGGTAAGCAGTTCAAACAATGTTTCCTAGTGTTTGCTACAGGCCAAATGTTGTCCTGGCCATTGTGGACATTGAGTGACTTAGATGAGTCCAGTCCCCCTCCCTGCCCTGGACTCTCACAGCTTTATGGAGGGGAAGCCATCAGAAAGTTGTTCAAGATGCTGTGGGGGCTTAGAGGAGGGGCTTCCAAGGACAGCAGGAGAAGGGAACCCTGCCAGACAGAAGGAACCATGTGGATGAGAGTGTAAAGGCATGAGGAGGCCCATGTGGGACATTTGGGGACAGGCAAGTAGTGAGTGTGATTGGAGGGACCATGTAGCATCCCGAGCTAGATCAGGACTGAAGTGTGTCTCCATGACCTCAGCCTGCTGTACTTCAGTTCCCATCCTCTGCAGAACAGGACACACCAGCACTTGGCTTGTCGTAGGGATTAAATACATATGAAGAAACAACAGGCGACTGGGGTTGGGGCTCAGCATAGAGCACTCAGAGCACTGCCCAGCATGCGGGAGGCACTGGGTTGGATCCTCAGCACCATGTAAGATAAATAAATAACATAGAGGTATCGTGTCCACCTATAACTAAAAAGAAATACTTAAAATATATATATATATATATATGTGTGTGTGTGTGTGTATACATATATATATATATATATATATATATATATACATATATATATTTTCTTTAAAGAAAAAGAAAAATAGCACCTGGAGCAGTGGCCACCCAGTGTTGCGCAGGGTGCCCAGTGCTGTCGGTGTTGCTGGAGTGCGAGATATTCAGGCAGGGTGGCAGGAGATGAGGCTGGAGGGGCTTACCAGGGGCTGGGGGAGCAGGGGTGAGGTCCTGAAGGGCTTCTGGTACACAGCTACAGAGAGAGATGAAGATGATGAGAGTTACTGAAGGATTTGGGGCAAGGCAGTCATGATCAGATTTGGTTTGGGGTTTGGTTTGGAGATGGAGTCTCTGTCTGTTACCCAGGCACTCTATCCTTTTACCTAAGCTTCCCAAGTCGCTGGGATTCTAAACACACAATGCCACACCTGGCAGATTTTTTGTTTTGTTTTGTCCTAGAACAGGGTCCATGACATCTAGAGGACTGATTGTGAAGGAAGAAACTGGAATCAGGGATATCAGAGAAAATGGTTTTAGGAATATCTCTGGACCAAAGACAATGAAGCCCAATCTAGCACTGTAGCTGGGAATGTGGACAGAAGTGGGTGAACTTGGGAGATGTTAATAATAAGGAAGACTTGAGAGGCCAGAGGCAGAGGCCCAGGGCGACCCCAGGTGGGTGGTAGCACCTTCACTGTATTGAGAAAGATGAGAAGGAACAGGTTTGGGGTGGGGAAGAGGCATCTGGGAAGGGGTGAGTCTGTTCATCCTCTTGGCCAGCCCTGGGGAACCTGACTTTGCCCCTGTGCTTCTGCCTCCTGGCTGTGCAACTGAGGACAGGTCTGCTTCCTCCCACATCTGGGTTTCCAGGCACTGTGCCTCTTAATCCCCTCTACAGGAACGCTCAGTCAGACGAGTCCCCTTGCTCCAGTGTCTGGCACCATCTCCTCAAAGCCTTCTACTGTTGGGGGGAGGGCAACTTCTGACCACATCCCTGAGCCCCATGTTTCCTCTTTAGGGAGCCCAGTGGCCTTGGGGCTTGCCCAAATCACAATTCCTTATGTGAGTTCTGCCTGGGGGCCCGCCTTATCCCAGGGTTAGGAAGCATCATCTAGAGAGCAGGAAACATGCTAGGGTGAGGACTGGGATCTGACCTGTCCACTTCTCTGTCCTAGCAGGGCTGGGTCGGAACCCAGCTGTGGGCCCAGCCAGGCGGAAACACTCCACCCCCTCCAGCTCCCCGTGCTCTCGGAAGTCTCGTCTTTGGGGGGCCTGCCGGAAACCTCGGAAGAAGAAGCTGACTCGAGCACCAGGTATGAGCTGTCAGCGGAGCAAAACAAGAAGGCAGGGGTCAATGGAACAGGACTCCCTCTCCAGGGTTGCCATGGCCCTGCTCAGGGGTCTGCTCAGCAAACTATGCTAGGGTCAGATCCCACTCCTCCTAGTAGGAGCTCAGTGGCCTGGAGTGGGCCACTCTCCTCTAAACCTCTGCTTCCTCACTGGAAAACACAGCGCCCGCCACAAGAGAACAAGCACGCACTCTGCCCAAGCAGAGCTCATGTGAGAGACACTGGTCAGGTCCAAGGAGCACAGCTGCTGTTTTTATTTATTGCCCTGTACTCAGTAATCATTTTGGACCAGAGAATTGGGGAGTGTGCAGTGACAGGAAGATCCACATGTGGGAGGCAGTGTCCTGGGGCCAGCCCCAGCCATGCTACTCACTTGCTCCCCTTCTCATTTGTGGGACTCAGTTTCCGTGACTATAAAATGGGAGCCAGAGAGGCAGGGGTATAGTGCAGTATTTGCCTGGCATACCCACGGCCTTGGGTTGGATTCCTAGTAGAGCCAAAAAAAAAAAAAAAAAGTTGGATCTCATCGGTGACTCCCTGGCTGTACATCTAAATCACCTGGGGTGCTTCAAAAAAGAAAAGAAAAAGAAATCCTATTCTTGTGCTTTTTACCTAGAGAATCGGGTGCCCTCTGTCTGTGGTGGAACATCAGATGAGCTGTGTCTTATTTTTTTTAAGGCTTGCAAGGTATATAGGTAGGGGTTGGGCTAAGTGACCTCTGCTTGAATATCTGAGCATGCCTGGAAGGGCTGGTGAGTGACCAAGCCACACACAGCTTTAAAACAGGGTGTCAACCCAGAGCAAAGGAGGTCCCCACCTGAGCCATATTCTGGGGTAGTCAGGGAACATCCCCACACACACAGGGTCCTCTGACACCCATCTCTGCATTCTCAGAACGTCAGACCCGGGACCAGAAACCTCGCCGCTCCCTGGCCCTAGACAAACCTGAGAAGACGGTGACCACGTCCCCAGACCAGAAAGAAGGAAACGTGGGGGGGCTTACCACTCCTCCAAGATGCCCAGACCCCTGGTGTGACCTCAAAGCTGCATTTGCCTCATTTCAAGGCGATGGAGAAGGAGGAAGATCCCAGCTGACGTTGCTGGATATAGCTGAAAACATCGTCCTTGGTGACATCGCAAGTTGGTCTCTTTCCTCACCATGAGTTTCATCTTTACAGGCTCTTTGCTGGGGACCTGCTGAGTAGCTGGGGATACATTGGTGATCAGAGTAGACCCTGCCCCTCATCTCACGGAGCTTATGGTTTTGTTCCCAGTTTTCTTTCTCATTTCAGGCTCTGTTGTGGGTAAGGGAGGGAGAAGATCAGGGCTACCCTCCTGTTAGGCTTCAGGTCACAGAAGTGGGACAGGGTAGGGTATCCTGAGAAGACCTCACCCGAAGCAGCCACAATGTCTCTTGTGATTGCCCTGTCACTCCACCAACTGAAATAGGCTTGCTGATGCATCTAGCAAAGACCTGGTGGAGAGAGGGGATTTGAACTCAAGGCCTAGCCTCATACTGCCTGCAAGGCCTTGGGCACTTGGTTCCTCTGTTCATTCATGTAGCCCCCATTCTGAGTGTCTGCTCCGGGCCAGGCCATGTGCAGACTGCTCCTGACATATCAGGGACTAAGGTCACAGTCCACTGAAGGAATCACCCACATCACCAGATGCTGATGGTCCACAGTGACCAGACTTCCTGGGTTTCCCAGGAGGCTGTTGGCCCCAGAGCAGGCATCTGACCCAGCCCGGGGCTGAGGGAGTGCTTGACAGATCTTCTTGCTAATTACAACGTTGGCAAGCTACCCGATATCTCAGTGCCTCAGTTTAACTATAGTATAATAATGGTGTCCTCCAGCAAAGGGTCACTGAAAAGGATTTTAAGTATTTCAAACAGGGCTGGCCACAGTAAGCACTGCATTCTTGCTTGTTATTATTGTCGTTCCACTTAAGGATTTTATCCTCATTACAGCTTCTGATAGGGATATGAGATTCAAGAAACTTCAGGGTGACTTGGGCACCCCCAGACTCACACAGAGGTCCTATAGACTAAGGTTTTGGTCAGAATGGTGGAGCAGAAAGTTGGGTGGCAGAACCTGGCTCCTCCCCATCCTCTATGTCGACCCACAGAAGTAGTCATCCTAATTTGCCCCCCAGGCTGCTGTTGTGCAAACAGTGCCCAGGATGGAGAGCCTGACCCTGCTTTGGAGGCCCAGAGAGGGGCTGAAGGGATCCATTTCCTAAGCAGGATACACCCCTATTCCAGGTGAGGGCACTCTGAGGGCACTGGTGGGCGAGGCAGAGGAGTTTGGGCTGGCATGGTGAGGGGTCCTGAGAAACGAGGCCGGTGTTCATCTTTTGCCAGTTCTCCTGAACACTGCCCTGGGCCTGCTTTATGCTGACTGCACTGAGCTCTCTGGAGTCTGGCTTCCATCCCTCAGAACCTGGCCATAGCCTCCCCACTGGCCTCTCTGCCTCCAGTCTCCCCCTGCAGCCCATCTTCACTTGAGTAGCTTTTCTAACACACAGAACTTGGCCTTGACCCTTCCTTGGTGCCTAGCAGTTAGAGCCCAGTTATCTTAACTGGCATTGGAGACATTCTGTGACCTCATCTCCTGCCCTCACCCTGACTCTCACACCTAAGAGAATGCTCGCCATGCCCCGGCCTCTGAGCTTTACATTCTGGTCCCTCTTCATGGACAACCCACTCCCCAGGCCCACCTGTGACACTGCCTGTCCTGCAGTCCTCACTGAGGTCCTCCTCCCACTGCCCTCAGCGTTGCCCCTCTGGCGCCAGCTCACCTCATAGGCCTAGAAGCCCTTGGAGGCTGGGTGCTCAGCTGTCCGAGCTCCCTGGGACCTGCACACAGCCGGCCACAGGAGACACCGGAAGGGTCACACAGCAGTTCCCAGCTCAGGGCTCTGTGTTTGCCTCTTAATTCCACCTGTCACAGGCAGAAGCTGGTCTTCTGTGATTCCAGTGAGGAGGTGGACAAGGAAGTCCCAGATGCTGACCCGTGGCTTCCTGCCTGGACCCCAGAGGGCAGCCCTCATGGTGACTGAAACTGTCTCTCTTCCTTCTGAGGATTTCTATGGCAGGGGAAAGTGGGAAGGAGAATGGGGATCTGCTAAGAACAGGGATGGTGACTGCACTGTTCCTGCTGTCACTCTGATGCTAGTTGCTAGGACAGACATTGCTAATCAATTATCATTCTTTCCCTTGAGTCCAGATACTACCTCAGAATCTTTCTTAACACAGAGCTGCAGGTAGATATATCAGTCTATTGAATCTGACCCATTATGATGATTTTTTCCCTTTGCTATCCCTGAAATAATGCCAGGCACTGTGTCTCTTAATCCCCTCTGTAGGAACGCCCAGTCAGGAACGAGTCCCCTGGCCCCAGTGTCTGGCACCATCTCCTCAAAGCCTTCTACTGTTGAGGAGAGGGCAATTTCCAACCATATTACTGAGCCCCATGTTTCCTCTTTAGGGAGCCCAGTGGCCTTGGGGCCTCCCCAAATCAATAATTGGAGTGTGACAGGCCTCCCAACTGAGATCCTAGGACTAAGTCCTTCCCTCTTCAGCTCTCCGGGAAAATTGCTGCCAGAACAGATCTTGGAGGATGGCAATGAGTACCTGACCCAAGGTGAGCCTCCAGGGCAAGACTGAGGCTCCAGTCACTCAGAACATGGGGCACCCACCAGGTGCTCAGGCCTATGCCGTACTCTGGTCGCCTAGAGCCCTATCTCATCCAGGCCCTGTCTCAAGGCACCCACAGCCCAGCACAAGAGAGGGAAAGGCTCAGGAGCCTGATCAGGGAGCCACATGCTCCGCCCTGGGGCTAGAGGGGTCCACGGCAGCTGGCCTGTGAGGGGAATTGGACGTGGGGTAGGAAAAGGCCAGACAAGGGGGTTCCAGCTGGTGGGGACAGCAGGGCAGAGGCTCAGTGCAGTGGGAGAAGCACTTCCGTTCTAGCCAGCACTGTGGTGTCCCCACCAACAGGCCTCTTTGAAGAAGTGCTCTTAGAGCCTGAGTCTCGACCTTCTGCCTGTACCCTTGAGGCACCCCAAAAGAAGGTAGGCGACACCCACCATATGTCACCCCACTTCCCTGCTCGACCCATTCCCAGCCTCAGCCCTCTAGCCACCCAGCCACCTGCCCCCATCCATCTACCAAGTAGGGGGCTCCTGACTTTGTTTGATGGGTGAGAAAAAACCTGAACCCAGAGAGTGGCCCAGGAATTCTCAGTTTGAGTAGAGACCAAACCCAGGACTGTAGCCCTCCTGGGCCCTGGGCCAACCAGGGCAGCACCTCTGCTACAGAAGGTAACTGCTAATGGAGAGGCAGCTCTAGTCCTCCACAGATGCTTCCTCCAGTGTTGCCTCAATGAGTATCTGAGTTGGTGGCAGAAACAAAATCGATGCCATTATCTCCTAGCTAGTGCCGGGCGCTGTGGGAGGTTCTTCCCAGTCCTGCAAGGCCTGTATTGCTACCCCTGTCATGTAGATGAGATCCAGGCTCAAAGAAGTTCAGACTTCCCAGAGCACCACAGCCTCTAAGCCACTAGTACGCTGATGGGGTAGAGGTGACACTGCCCCAGGATGGGAGGAAACAAGTCGCCCCAGCCATTCCTGCCCCACTTAGCCTGCTATGGGATCTTGGGAGTGTGTGCCTGAGTGTCCCGAGGCTGTGGAGACTGTGAAGCTGCTTGCATTCTGTCCTGGGAAATCAGTGAGTGGAGGGTGATCCCAGCCCCCACCCCAACCATCTTTCTCCCTCATCATGGCCCAGAGCGTACCTCTAGAGGCTCCTGAAGCGCCCCCTGACTCCCACAGCCTGTGCCAGTCCTCGGTCTCACTGGACCACTGCTACCTCTCTTTGAGTGAGGCCAGCAAGGTGCAGTCCAGCCCCAGCACTGAGGAGAGCGACTCGGAGTCCCTGTGGGGGCAGGAAGAGGTGAGGGCTGGCATCTGCGGAAGGCGGGTGGGTTTCTCTTGCCCTGGCACTTACCGCTCTTCTCTGTCCAGGACTTGCAGGTCGACCCTGAGGGCTTGCAGTCCTCTAGTGACGAGGATGACGACTATACATGGACCCCCACCCGGAGGGCCTCAACCCTGCCCACAGGTGGGAGAAAGAGCAGGAAGGGCCGGACTAGCAAGGGCCCCTCGAAGCCCAAGGAGAGCAAGAAAGCCCCGTGTCCTACCCAGATGAAGAAAAAGTGTGTGAACGGCTTCATCATGTTCTGCAGGATGAACCGGAAGCAGTACATTAGGTGGGTGAGGGTCCCCGGCAGCCCCTGGTAGGTCCCTGATTTCACTCTGCCTCCAGGTTGTGTGGCTCCAACTTGTGAGAGTTACTTGCCCTTTTCTAGGACCCACCAGCCCCTCCACGGCCACAGTTCTTCCCCAGCCCTGTCGCACTGATCTGGTCCTTTCAACTATGCGCAGTGAAACCAGCTCAAATTTGAGGGGAGAAAAGGAAATTAGTTTGCTTGTATAACTTTAACAAAAAGGGGCCAGTGTTGCCTGCCCTAAGATGCGGTTGGTTCCAGGGCTGAACGATGCTGTCCAACTCCGCTCTCCTGAGCTGGCTTCATTCTCCAGAATGCTGGGGACAGGGACACCTGGGAGCTCTGGCTCAGGTCCAGTCTGCCCCCAGCAGTCCCTGTGGGGAGGAGGCTGAGCTGGCCACTTGCCAGAGTGAAGCCAGGGCCTGGGAGTGTCCTGAGCCACAGTGGACAGTGGGTTCCTGTACAGGAAGGTCTAGGTGCTGGCCTGTAGTCACCACCTCACCCTCCTGGACACTGGGTTCTCAGTTGGGAGCAGCTATTTAATGCCTTTCCCTTCTTTGACCTCAGTTCCGGAGGGTGTATGATGGGGGCCGCGGGCTACAGGGATGGGAGAGGGCACTGATGGGAAAGCTGAGGCTGGGAGAGGGCCAGAGACCCTGTGTGGCCGCACTGCTGGCCTCCACAGGCCTCTCCTGACCACCCCTCCCGCCCCTCTTGTTCCAGAGCCTGCCCTGGGACTGCATCCACAGCGGCCACCAAGGAACTGGCCCAGCTGTGGCGGGTGATGACCCCACAGGAGCGGAGACCATACTGGTAAGAAGCCCTGCTAGAGACCCTGTGAGGAGCCAGCAGCAGGTCCCAGCCTTCCTCTAGGGTTCAGAGCCTCAAGCCTGTGGTGCTGGAACAGGGCGGGAGCTCACTGAGCTGTCTTTCCTGAAAGACTTGGAAGTGACAGAGAGAGGTGTCACCTAATAGCTCAGAAAGGCAGATGATTTCACTGGGTTTTGGACCTTGCTGCTAGAGGTTCTCCCCGGCTCTGCCACCGGGAGCTCTCAGAGCCTGGCTTTCAATTCCTGCTGCTTGGCCTCCTCCCTTCTGCCTCTGATCCCTGCCTCCCCAAAACCCGTCTTCTCCACCAACTCCGGATAGCTGTCACTGGCCACCTCTGAAGTGGTCCCTGGAACACTCCTCAACACGAAGTTTCTCACACCCCAAAGCCCCTTGGAGTGTGGGGTTCCAGCAAGGGACCCTCTGCCACGTCTCGTCTTAGCCTGGGACTTGGAACCCAGGGCTTGGCCTCCCACTTGTCCTTGGCTTGGTCACTGCTGGGGCTGGAGGACCAGGGGTGGGACAGCGATGGTGGGAGGTGAGAGAGGAACCTGCCCCGCTGCCACCTCTCCCCCCAGCATCAAGGCCCGCAGGTTCAGCCGCCAGCATAACCGCATTGTGAAGCAGGAGAACTCCAGCAGTGAGGACGAGGACTGGGAGACCCCCAAGCCTTTCTACCAGCTGCTGGCGGAGAAGGCACACAGCAACCCAGACCTGCCCCCCCTGCCACCTCTTCACCCCCAGGGAGAGGGCTGTCCACCTGGGCGAGCTCCCTCACCTCAGCTTCTGCAGCACTCCTCGGAAACCAGGAGCCCGTGGTGAAGAGGCGTCTGTTCCCTTCTGGGCTTCAGCCCCTGCCACTGTGTGTCCCTGGGCCAGCTCCCGTGGGACTGGGGAAGAGGTGTATTTATTGACCCCTGAGACACTGAGCCCCCTTTCCACCCCAAGGTTATTAGAGGAGCCTTGGGGTGGAAAGAAATCCTAGATGAAATGCAGGCAGGTGACGCTGGGGAACAGGGACTCCGCTCTGCCCCTCCTGTCCCCAGAATCACATGGTTTCAACCTGTTCATGCTCAATTCGCCCCTCCCTGCCCCGTTCTATTTATAGACTATTTATTGTTTTAAACGAAATAAAAGCAAGTGGAATCCTTGTTGCCAGCAAAGGAAACAGGGTAGGCCTTCTGGTGTCTCCCTGCTTCTTTGGCCCTGGGTGGTCCTCCCACCCAGCTCTGGAGGCCTGCCATGCCAGGGCCTACAGTTTGAAAGTCACCTCGCTGCCTACACCTTCCTCAGCCCATGAGCCTGGACTCAAGCCCCCTTCTTAGGAAGCATGGTCAGAGAGCCATGTTCTCAGGCAGGGCTGCTGCTGTTCAGTTGTCCTTTGGGCAAGTTGTTTGGAAGGTGACCCACAGCCCTGGTGGTTCTGTTAACTTTATTTTAATTGAAATGGAGGCATAACATATCCTAGAAAAATAAAGATTTAGGATACAAACTAGACACAAGGGTCAGGGTTGCCCCGGGGACAAGGGAATCTTTGGTCTGGGGCTAGAGGTGATGTGGCTTTAGTCCAGAGGAGTGAAGGGGAGACCCCACTCTGCCTACACCTGCACCCCTTCTTAGCAAGAAGGGAGAAGCATGGGTAAGGGTCCATCAGTCTCTGGGCCCAAAACTTTGTCCTCCACCCTCGGATTCCAAGCATTCTGAGAACATGGGGTATCAGTGGAGCTATTAATAGTGTGTTAGGGAGAAGAGGGAGCAGGAGATCTGGCCATTCCGCAGGGTCTTCAGCTCACAGCTAGTACCAGGTGGAGGAGAGCAGAGCCCGCATCAGGCCCCCAAATTCCCCATACATACGGCAGGACAGCAAGAAGAGGGCTGTAACAGAGGCCTCCCGTGCAGAGAGGGACAGAATCCTAGATAGGGAGTGGATAGCATGTTCCCTGGCACCTCTAGGACTTGGAGAGGCCACCCAGGCTGGAGGGATGTAGTATGTGTTGGATCCCCAGACTGCCAACCCAGGCACTGTCCCTGCGTCTTGAGCACCATTGTCAGAAGAAGTGATGAAGCTGAGCGGGTTACAGTTCCAAGGGCTCTTCCACAGGCACCGACTGTAGCTGGGTCAGGACCTTGGCCTCAGCTTCCAGCCCCTCATCAACTTCAGCCCCTGTCGTGGTCCCCAGTAGCAGCCCCTCAGGGTCAGGGTCTGGCAGCCTCAGCACGGTGTGAGGAACCTGTGTTCCCAGCCCTTTTTCTGCATCTAGCAGCCCCTCTGTTCCTGTGTTCAGCTCTAGCCCTGCCGGCCAAACTGGCACAGCTGCAGGTGACAGCATCAGACCCTCTGGCGGAGGTGCTGGGAAGCTGGGCAGGAGGCCAGAGTCCGGGGAGAAGGGTAGACTGGCTGCAGAGGTGGCCACAGTGGGTGGTGTTGGCTGCTGTGCAGAAAGTGTGCTCAGGCTGTGGGCCTCTGGGAGGGCGGGACTGGGGGCCACCGGGAGGGCTCCTTCAGGTACTGAGATGGCTGTCTCTGACTTCACGGGCAGGGCCAGGCCGGGGGCCGGTGGCAAGACCTGGGAGACCAGCATGCTGGTGGGGAAGGTGGCTGTGAGGATGATCTTGCCCTGCTGCACGGCCACACCTGTGACAATGGGGCTGCCAGACACAGGGTTGGCCAGGAGGAAGTTTCCTGTGGGGAGAGGAAATAGGTAAGAGTTGGAAGCAGCTGACCAAGAGCATGTAGAGATGAAGCTGCTGGAGGGCAGGCAAATGGCTCTCTCAGGATGTGTGGCAAAAACTTTGGGGCACACTGGCAGAGGGCACAGGGAAACACCAGGGATGAGATGCTTCCTCCTCCCAGAACCCAGTGACATCCCTACCCCAAGCTGCATCCAGGCCGTAGGGAGGCAGGAGGGAGTACCTGGGGCAGTGGCTGAAGGCAGCTGCAAGGCAGTCACGCCCACCCCGGAGTTGATCAGGTGTACATTGGCAGGGCCTGCTGCAGCTGCCACCTTCACAGGGCTGCCCGGTCCAGCTGCCAACAGCTGCAATGGCCCCACAGCCTGGGGCAGGGTCACCACCTGGGAGGTAGGCACCACCTGGGGCAAGTTCAATAGTGGGGAGTTGGGCCCCAGGCCCGAGGGGTACCCGGGGGGTGGGGAGAGTGGCACCACCTGGGGGGCAGCCACAGTGGGCACCGGTCCTGGAGGCATAGGGAAGGATGTAGCTGGTGGGGGGCCAGGTACCACTTGGGGCAGGGGCCCTGCCATGTCCTCTCCAGCTGACCCCGAAGCAGCCACCTGGGCTCCTTTGGTCTCAAGGGCCTCAGACTGCGCCTCCTCCAGCCGAATCTCCCCAGTCTGAGGGTCCATGACAAGGGAGGTCTTGGCCTCACTGGTCCCCTGGGGACTGGGCTGTGGTAGAGGGGCACCCCCTCCTCCTGTGAGCAGTAGGGGCCCCAGGCTGGAGGCCTCTCCCAGAGCCAGGCTGTTGATGATGACAGGACTGCCATTGAGGAGAACTGCTGGGGAGCTGCTGGCAGCCAGGAAGCTCCCATTTACCAGGATGGAGGGGGAGGCGGGACACGGAGTGGGAGGGGTGGCCCCTGCCAGGAAGATGGAGCTCTGGGTGGGGGCCTCGGCAGCCACTGGGGCCATCCCTCTCTCCAGGTCCTCAGGACTTCGGCTGGACTCATCCTCAGTAGTGGGGTTCCCATCAGACTCGCTGGAGGGAGAAAGGGTGGTTAGCTGTGATCCCCCAGGGCGGGATTCTCTCAGGAGCAGGGGCTGACCCCTGCTTCCCGACCTGCCCCAGCCCCAGCTTTTGTGGACTATTTCAGGGGTCATAGATCATCCCAAGGCCACCCAAGGACCCTGCGTTGGTAGCCACCACAGCGGGAAAGCTAACCCTGGAGCAACCTGAAGAACAGCCTGCTTTCCGGGGCGTTTGCCTCTGGGCAGGGCTGTGCACCAGGGCTTCCCCTAAGTCCCCTGGGTAGGCAGACGCGTGGCCTGGACAGAGAGGAGGCAGTTGCCTGCTCAGTTCCCAGCGTCCCTCCCAAGAGGCGTCAGAGGAGAGCCAGGCAGGGTGCGCACGGGGTGGGAGGGGAAGGGCTTGGGTTACAGGGAAACCGGAGCCGGGGAAGGTTCACGTTTCACAACAAAGGCAGGGGCCGGACCACGCTGTTCAGGCTGGAGGGGGCGTGGGGGTGGGTAAGAGTAACGGTCAGGGAAGGCCCGGGCTGCGAAAGCGCCCAGAAAACCACCCCTACCCGGGGTAGGGTGGGCAAGGGCCCCTCCCCCATCCCCTTTAGAGGCCCTCATTTTGGCACTGTTTGCCCCACAGAGATCCCGAACACAGGGGGGTTTGATTTGGAACTTTGAGTGCAGCAGCGGGAAGAAGAGGTCTCCGGGCCTCCGCTTGAGGTCCCCAGAGGAGAGGAACGAGGACGTGGGCCTGATCCATCCACGCTTAGTCCCTACGCATCTCGGAGGCCTAAGGATGTGAGCGGGAAGTTCCAAGAAGCCCGGCGCCGAGACTCCAGCAGTGGGCACGAGACTCCAGCAGTGGGCACGGGGAGTTGGAGGCTGGTGTCCTCGGGAAAGGGGGACTTGCGCCTCCCGGATCCCCTCACCTCTTGCAGGGCGCGCCGCCGCCGGTCCCGGTCCGGTCGCGCTGTCGCCGGTTTTTGAACCAGTTGCTGACCTGCGTGAGCGAGAGACCGGTGAGCGTGGCAAGGCGACGCTTCTCGTCCGGCGTTGGGTAGCGGTTGCCGCGGTAGCAGGCCTTGAGCGCGGCGCGGGAGCGCTCCTTGAAGCAGTAGACGGTCTCCTCGCCGTCCCAGATGGTCTTCGGCAGCGGGAACTTCTTGCGCAGCCGGTATTTGTCCACTGCGCCCAGCGCGCGGCCGCGGGCTCGCTCGGCCTCCTGGTAGCGCGCGCGCAGGTAAAGGTCCTGCAGGAAGGCGTGGTGGGCGGCGGGGAAGGGGCGGCTCTCCAGTAACCGGTAGAGTTCGGCGTACTCGCCCCGCTGGAAGGCCACCAAGGCCCGTGCGCGCAACACCGGGTCGCTGCCACGTAGGCGCTCGGCCGGGGGCAGTGCGCCTAGGAAGCGGCTCAAGCGACCAGCGTGGCCCGCCTGTAGCAGCGCCTCACAAACGCACGCCACCTGCTCCGGCGAGAAGCGGAGGCCCGTGGACGGTTCGGCAGCGGCCTCCGGGGGTGACCCAGGGACTCCCGGGGACCCCGAGTCCTCCGCTCCCGCAGCCGCTTCGCCCGCCCCGGCCCCGGCCGCCGCCGCCGCCGCCTCACCCTCGGCTGCCTGCAAAGTCTGCAGGAGCTGGCGCGCTTCTTCCTCCTCCTCTTCGGTTGCCGCCGCCACCGCCTCCCCACCGGCCGCCGGCCCCGCGCTCGGCTCGGCAGGCAAGGTAGCCATGTTTTGCAACTTTGGGAAGTTCCTCCCTCCTTCTCCTCCCTCGGGTTTCCACCAGCCCCCTCCCCCGCCCGTCCCCTCTTTCTGCCCCCGCCTAGCGCTTCCCGATCTTCTCGCCACACACCCCCCTGCCCCCCGAATGCCAGACCCCAGATCTACACTTGGGTCTCTGTCTCTGTGTGTCCGTCCCCCTCTCCGTCTGTCCGTGATTCTCCCTTTGTTTTCCCTCCGCCTCTGGCCGCGCTTTTTGTCCCCCCCCCGCCCCCAGCGTGTGCCTCTGGCTCAGGGCCTCAATTTCCCCATCGGGACAACAGAGAAGGTAACGGTCCGTCCAGGAGAGCTAAGGGCGCGAAGCCACCTCCGTCCGGAGACTGAGCTTCTGCACGCCTCCGTCTCCAGGGTCCTCTGAAGGCCCCCCCATTCCCATCTCGGCGCGCGCTCCGCCCCTCGGAATTCCCGGCTCCGCAGGGGGGGCGGGTCTGGCAGGGAGGAGGGGCGGGCGAAACAGGGAGAAAGTTTGCAGCAACTTTTCTTAAGCGTAGGTCCCAGGAGCGGATGCGCGTGGCCTGCGCAGGCGCAGTGGAAGAAGGACGGCGGCGCGCTAGCCTGCCCAGCCCCCTTCTCCTCAACCCTTCGGGTGGCACAGCTGAGCCACAGCTGGGGGGGCGGTGCCTCATTGTGGCCCGCTCGCCATGTCCTATTGGCTGGATGCCGAGGTCCCGCCCCTCATGTTTTTCCTTCCCCCTCCCTGATTCGTCCTCTTTGCGTCCCGCTAGCTCCCCGCCAAGCTATTGGCCAGCCCTACTGGCCTTCTGATTGGCCCACCGGACAACCTCCTCCGCAGAACGCGTACACAGCTACACCGCGGAGTCCAGAGCTTCAAGGCAGACGAAAGGGTCTTTTATTTGCGAGGGTCGGGGGTGGGGGGTCCTAGGTGGGGCCAAACAATAAATACCGAGGAATGTCGAGTCTCAGTGCATCCAAAACGTGGATTAGGGTGATGGGGTCCTGGAGGCTGTCAGCAAGTCGGAGGATAAAGGCAATAAATATCCAAACCACCAAGACGGGCGGAGCCAGCTGTGGCTCCTAGAGCAGCGCACGTAAGGGGGGAGGGGGGCTGGCAAAAGCAAAAGGTTCCCGAGGGAGCAGGCAGAGGTGACGCCGAACGTTCGCTGCGGTAGAACGTTCCGGGGAGAATAGGAGTTCATGCACAGGGAGGATTTGTGGTTTGCTAACAGATGGCAGGTGCGTGGAGGGTGAAAATCGGATGGCTGAGCTGTCGGCTGCCTTCTCGGACCGCGATTTGCCTATCCAGGTCGAGGATGGCTGAGCTCCGGTCGGCTGCCTTCTCTGGACCGCGATCTGCCCATCCACGTCGGGGTCAACCCGCCCAGAAGAAAGCAGTGATCGGCAACTCCCCCCAGCAGCAGCCGCAGCAGCCTCAGCAGCAACAACATTCCTGGCTGCAAGTCCCTCGCTAACCCCATTCGCCGGCCAAGGATCCGGCTCCTCCCTTCCCGGCCGCCAGGGGGCGGGCCCGGATCACAGGATTGGAGCTGGGCGAAGACCCGCGCTCGGAGCGGTATGAACTGGGAGGCGGTGGGAGCAGCTTCTAGGCCGAGCCCGGGTCACCCAACCCTTTAACCGAGCCTGAGGTCTAGGGTTCAGGGGACGAAGGTGGCTCCCGGGCGATGACAGATTGGGACGAGATGGCCTGCGCTGGCCACCAACCCAATGCAGCCCAAGGAGGCGGCACGAGCCAGAGCAGCGGCGAACACGAGCAAGGAACACGCCTCCGATAGGCCAGGCCTAGGGACCTACGGGCGAGAGGGCGGGATCAGCACTCGGGAGGGCCTGATTGGTTCCTGAGAGCCGACCCGCCTATGCCTATAAGGGTCCTCAATTCTCCAATCCCGCCCCACACCCCCTACAGCTGGCAGCAGTGGCTTCTCGGCTGGCCAGCCAGAAATCCTGTCGCAGCTCGTCATTGGCCGCTTCCTAGCGGCCTGTATTGATTGGCTGCCTGTGCATCCTCCCTTCCCGCGGAGGCCAAGCCCCGAAGGGGTGCAGCTAAGCGGTGGTGGCTTGGGGTGGGTGGAGTGAGGCCGGGGCAAGGCAGCGGCGGAGAGAGAGCGTGGGACGTACCCTGGCAGGGAGCAGCAGGTGGCGGCGGTGCATGGGGCCTGGCCCCACCAGCGGGGACTGGCCCAGAGCCACGGCCGGGGGGCCATCTAGCTGGAGAGAGAAGGGACAGGTGACCCGATCGGAGCCCAGCCTAGCCCTGCCTCCTTCGGCAGGGGGTGGGGGCGGGTGAGAGTGAGGAAAGTCGAGGTCGGGGGAGGAATCTAGGGAGATCCCCGGAGGGATTTGATGAGAGGCCCGAACTGAGGGTGAGCCCTAAATCTGTACGGGAGGGGGGTTAGCAGGCCTGAGGCAGGGGAAAGAGAGGGGTCTTACATGGGAAGGTGGATCCGTGGCCCGGGGACTGGGGACCCCCGTGACAGCTGGAAGGAGAAGAGAGAGGCGTATGGCGCGTGAAGGGGCAGAGAAGGGAGGTGGCGCGGCGTGCCCCAGCCTGGGCCCCTTTCCTCCCCCAACTTGTCCCCCTCGCTGGCCCACCTCCTCCCCGCGCCCTCCCGGAAGGGGGCAGATGAGGGACTCGCCTGCGGCTCCCTCTGTCTGCAGCAACTCCAGCCGCTCCTGCAGCTGCTGGATGTGCACCTCCAGGTCTCGGTTCCGGGCTTCGGCCTCCTGTAGCTGACTGACATGAGGAAAGAAACGTGACCCACTGGGGTCTGGGCTGCAGAGTGCCAAGGGTGTCGGGGACCCTGTGCCCCGACCCCGACCTGGCGAAGTTCTGGTTGGCCGTGCGGATGGCCTCCAGCTCCAGGCGCAGGTTCTGCTGGCTGAGCACCTCCTCCTCCAGGGCTTCCTGGAGCTCCCGCAGGGTCACCTCCGGCTCTGTCTCTGCCGCGGGGGCAGCAGTTGGATCTGCCACTTCAGCCTGTGGGTGGGGACTGGGTTTGGGGCCGCCTGTGCCTCCTGGAGCACAGCTTATCCACTCCCCACCGTCACCCTGCCTCTAGAATCCCCATAGCTTCAGCGAGTCCCCTCCTGTCCACACAGGAAGCAAAGAGCTGTTCTCAAAACTCAGCTTGACTGACCATGTCCTTTCTCTGATCCAATGTTTCCAGTTCCCAGTGCCCCAGGACAAGGTGGCTTTACCAAAAGGCCTTGCTTGGTTTGTTTCCTGCTGGTCTCTGCACCCGCCCCTCATGTACCCACGCAGCCATATGACTGACCCTCCTGTCACTTTTCAGAACAAATCAGCCTCAGATAAACCGGCAGGGTCCCCTCAGGGCTTCTGCTCTTGATATTCTCTCTACTGACCATGGGACACTTTTCTCTCTATGGGTGGCCCTGCCTCTTTCACCAATGCTCGGCTCAGGCTCCTCAGAGCCCCCCACGCATACACAGAGTTAGTGCCCTGTTTTGATGTCCTCATAGGGACCATCTCTTGACTGAAGTGACCTTATCTCTGCTGCTTTGTCTGTTTCTGTCCTCTAAATTCCCAGAGGCACAAGGCACCTGGCAAGTGCCAGCGGGTCCCTCCTGCTGCAACTGACCAGCCTCTCCTCAGCTACTCACCATGTCCTCTGGGGGGGACACCCTGGGCTCCACGCTGGGCTCTTGCACACGTGGCTCAGGTAATTGCTGGGCCTCCAGTTCCATTGGTGTGGGGTCTGGGACCTCACTGTCCCTGCAAAGAGGAAGAGGGGAGGAAGACTCCTTCCTACCCAAGAGGCTGCCAAGCCCTGGGAACCCATGGCCTGAGGGCATGGGGCAGCTGGCCCTTGGTTCAACCAGGGGTGAGGGGGAGTGAAGGGGGGACCAACTGTCAGGTGAGTTGACAGGCCCTTCTCTGTCTTGCATGTGGCCTCAGGCCCCTGGGAGCTGCCCCTTCGTATCTATGGAAACGGGGCCCAGACACCATGTTCCAGGGTCTGTACATTCCCTCCCTTAACCCCATCACCTTTGCATACCTCTCTCCTTAGGACCTCAGAACAGGGAAGGGGTCCTAATGAGGAAGACCCTGCCAAGTTCTGGGCACCTCCAAAGATGTGGTCATAAGACTGGATGTGGGATTCCCCAGACTGTGACTGAAGCTATTAGGACACCCCCTCATGCTCAGCTGCTGGGAGGGGGTGTAGGGCAGAGATCTCCTAAGAATATGAACTTTCAATAAAAGTGGCATCCTTTGACCAGCAATCTCTCCCATGGGAATATGCCTCAAGGACCTATGTACCCTGGACAAGCTCCGAGACCAACCTGTTGGCTGTTTGTAGCAGCCTGGGTTGTAACAGGACGTGTTAAAGCTGACCTGACCTGACCTGACCTGACCTGACCTGCAGTGAGGAGGAGACTAGACATGCTCATGACTGATAAGGGATGCCGTTCGCAGATTAGGAAGCAACCTGTTCTCACGGTGGATAAACATGTTTGCCAGCTTCGAGCCAGAGATGTCGCTGAATGATGGGCTCAGACGCAAGCTTCCTTTTCCTTAATCTTATTTCTTAATTTACTTGTGATAAGCAGTCTCATTTATATAATTGATGCTTTTTAAAGGCTTTATTGTTACATGACTATATTCTGTTAAAATTGGTTGTAAAATTCCAAGCTTATTTTACCCCTGACTCTGAGTACTAGAAATGTAAAAGTCTAGGGTTGCAGAATTCTGGAAGACCAAGCCTAAGGGCTCTAAGGTTTTGCAATTGAATCTAAAATGGTAAAGTACTTTAGGGTTCCTAAGAGTGCTTTGTCCTAAAATGATCCTGCAAAAAGAATATTGATCCCACAAACCCACAGGTCACCAATAAGCCTGGACACAGTGGTCCTGAGCCTCCTCCTGGGGCCTCTGCAGGCCGGCACCCTCCTACACCTCACATGCTGCACAGGTGCACTTACCTGAGGGCCATACAGGAGTAGGAGTAGCCCACAAAAGGCAGGTGGACCCCCAGAGGCATACCTTCCGGAATGTCCGACAGTGTTTCCTACGCAAGGAATACACAGATGTGACCAGCAGTTACCAGGGCTGGTCCCTGACAACTGCTGGTCATCATGGCCCAACAGTTGTCTTTGTTGTCATGGCTTAGGTGTGCTCCAACTCCAGGATCATTTAAAATGACCTCCCCATCATTTTTTTCTAGTTGCCTGTTGCTTCCCCTTCAAGGCCCTCACCACACTCTAATCACAGCCTTCTCTGGGGTGTAAGTGGATGAGGGCAGGGGCCAGAGCTGACTTGGTCAGTGCTGTCTCCAGAACTGCCCAATAGAAGGGCCCCCAGGCCTGAGTGAAGGATTCTGGGGCAGCTTGTTAAACTGACACCAGGCCCAGCTACTCAGGAAGCTGAGGCAGGAGAATCTCAAGTTCCAGGCCAGCGTGGGTAACTTAGCAAGACCCTATCTCAAAATAAAAAATGAAAAGGGCAGCTGGGCACTGTGGTACATGAGGCTGAGGCAGGAGGACCTCAAGTTCAAACCCAGCCTCAACAACTTAGCAAGGCCCTAAGCAACTCAGCCAGACCCTGTCTGTAATAAAAGGGCTGGGGATGCGGCAGTGGTTAAGCACCCCTGGTTCAATCCCTGGTACCAAAAAAAAAAAGAGAGAGAGAGAAAAGGCGAGATGGACAAAGGAAGGAAGGAAGCTTCCTCTCTTGCCTCTCTCCTCTCATTCCTCCAGGAAACCCTCCAGCACCTTCCCTCTGGGTCAAGAGCCCAGCCCTCTGTACTCCATCTCAGCCCTGATAACTCCGGGGACTGGACTGTCTTCCCCATTTGGACTGGGTCCCGAGCACTGGGTGGGCACAGCAGGTACTCTAGGGAATGAACGACTCGGAACCCCAGAGGTAGGCACTGTAATTACCCCAATTTTATGGAAGGGGGATGGGGAGCTTCCCTCAGCAGAACAGGGGCTGCAGATACCTACCCCGCCCCCGCTCACCATGGCAGTGAGCCCATCCTCCACCACGTCAAAATTGCAAGTATCGGTGGCACCCTCGAAGTCCGGAATAAAGGGGGGCAGGCTATCTCGAAGTCCCTCCCAGTCAAGGCCAAAGAAG